GGCTTTTATTTCCCATCTATTACAAACCAATATTGTGATTTATCTCCTGCCTTTGTGCCAGTGGATGGTCATGGCAGGGTTTGAAATTCAGCATTTTATGGCCACTGCTAACCTTTAACACCCGGCTTTCCACAGCTCAGCAGAGCTGCTGTGCAGGTCCCCTGTTGGCTGGGACAAAAAATGGGATTTTTTTTTGGGTTGTTGGGGATGCTGGTGGCTGGCTCAGGTGTGGCTGGAGGAGCAGACACCCCCAGCYCAGCACTGGGAGGTGTGTGAAGGAACACCCTTGTGTGTGCTTTGCTYCTGAGGGGCAGCACAAGCAGGTTTTTATGCATTCAGTGCTTTTGTGACCGACTCGTTCAGGTTCTTTTTGCATGACTTCTGTAATTTCGAATGCAATTAGCTTCTTCCTTCTGTTGCCTTATTAATTACCGTGACGGACTTAAGCTGATTTGGGACAGGATGTGTCGCAGAGGATTGTGCCCTCTCTTTAAACTCTTCATCAAGTCCTCACCACACCGGATCATTAATCTTCCAGGAAAACAGGGATGGCTCAGTGCCAGCTGCTCGCTCTAGAGAGGGAAGTTGGCAATAACTGCTTCCTCCTCCCAGTCACCCCCTGATTTTGGGTATGCACACGAAATATTCATGGAAATGCCTCCTCCTCCAGACAGGCTCATTTGGAAACAGCCCTGCTCCTTTACAAATATTGTAGTTTGTTTTCTTTGTGTGTTGTTTCCATTAGGAACATGAATCAGAAAATAAAGAATAAATACTGTTGGAAAGTAAGAGGTAATGGAACAGMTGCATCTTGTTTAAGCCACTTCCTGGCCGTGGCAGGAGTGTGATTTTTAACCATTTAAAATTCCTTTCATTTATATTAGCGGGTAGGTTTCTGTATTCATGTCTGGGAGAGAGGCTGTTCTGAAGTAATCATGGTGATTTAGGAATGGTGTGGTTTGGAGAAGCATTTGTTATGGAATAATTGGGAACTGTGGGTTCATTTATGTGCTCTGAGTTTCATCTGTTTCATTTGTGTTCCATTTTGGGCACCTCCCAGCCAGAGAGCCCTGGAGGGGTTGGAGCATGTCCAGGGAAGGGAGCAGAGCTGGGAGAGGCTCATGTTGGACATCAGCAGGAATTTCTGCATGGAAAGGGTGCTCAGGCCTTGGCAGGGGCTGCCCAGGGAGCTTTGGAGTGCCCATCCCTGGAGGTGTCCCAGGAAGGGCTGGAGGTGGCACTCAGAGCTCGGGGCTAGGGACCACGTGGGCTTTGGGCACAGTTTGGGCTCCATGGGCTGGGAGGGCTTTTCCAGCCTCAGGGATTCTGTGATTGTCCATACAAATAAACACAATAGAAAAAAACCCAATTTATCTGAAATGGCACCTGTGAATTACACCGAAAGAAAAACACATAGTAATAATAATAATAAGTAAAATAATGGAGAAGTTGCTCAAGGCATGGCATGTGCGAGTGTGTGGGACTGGCAATTCACAGYGCATGAATAATTTTTCTGAATTATTAGGAGTGACGAATATTCTTTCGCAGGGAACAATAGAGGAGCTCTGCTTGTAGCTCTGACGTTGTATTTTTAGTACCAACTCATTTTTAAATATGTCAAACTCAGCTTTTTTTTCTTGCTTGATTCCGGGAGACGGGTGGAATCTTTCCTGCTGGAAGAGTTTGGAGCTCCAGACTATGGAGTGGGGTGTAGTCTGAGGTGGGAGGGGTGGAAMGAGATGATTTWRRWTKTTTTTTCCAACCCAKAGCAGTCTGGSACTCTGTGAAATACTCTCATAAACGAGCAGCTGGGTTGTGAGGTGGTTTTGCCCTGATGGAGGGCAGCTGGAGGTGCTTTCCTCACAGGCTTTGTGGTGTGAGTCTCATCCTAACTAATCATGCCTAATCACAAAACCTATTTGGTTTACATCCAAGCATGACTGAGTTCTGATCCAGCCAATTCCATGTGGGTTTTTAATTCTAGGATGCTCGGATGTGGCAGAGATGAAGCTGTGTCTCCCTTCTCAATGGCTGCGTTCTGTGGGGTGGGTAAAAGGTTTGGGTGGCGTGGGGGCCCCTGAGCTTGCTCTGACATTTCTGTGTTGAGGACAGAAGCTCAATCAGGTGGTTCAGGTGTGCTCTTCCACTGAAATAATGTCATTGAGCTCATTAATTCCCTGAGTTTATTCATGTTGGGTCTGTTTGGCTGTTTGTCCTCTAAATGGAACCATAAAAGTTTGAAAAGACCTGTAAGATCACAGAGTCCAACRCACTTCTGGTGGATTTTCCTGTTCMTTTGATACTGTTTGGACCAAAYTTCCCAGTTKCTGCCCAAATCCTTTCCCATGCTCAATTCCATCATGGCGAGTGTTGTTTTGTACTGAGGATCTCAACATCCATAGGAAAGTTTGACTCGAGTCAGGAATTCTCCCCAGTATGTGTGAGTATTCTAGTAACAACTCCAAAGCCAGACTTTTTTAAGGAGCCAGACTTTATTAATGAAATCGATGTCGAGCCTTGGAATGAAATAAATGCCTGAAAYGTTAATGCAGGCTGGTCTGAAGACAACAAAGGCTTTAATGAGGCTTTCCTTGGTGGGCAGCTGGGTGACAGTAATGAGCTCCTTGTGGTGAGGATTTGGGGGGCTTTTGGAATGGCTGAGAACAAAAGAGCAGGGCTGAGTCGAGGTACAGCAGGGAAGCATGGTCTGGCTCGGCACAGGAGGGAGGAAATGGGGTGATCCAGCACCTGGTCAGCCTGAGAAACCACCAGCTTTTAAGTGCTAAGATTTAGCTCTGCAGTTTTGAAATAACTGCCTTATCCAGAATAGCAAACCACATCGGTCATGAGCCYAMTCATCTTTTCATATCCCAGTTATTTCATGAAATGTTCATGAATGGAGACCAGCTGAAGCGGGGATACCCTGCAGGGGCAGGAGTTCCTGGGCTCCTTATCTGCACACAGAAGGGATTGGAGAGGTGGGAAGGCACATCCAGACTCTCAAACGCTTTTGTGGTGCTCTGAGCCCGCCTCGTCCTGCGGCCAGCCCTGGGGAAACCTGGCTCCCTGCCCTCCTCCCTCTAGCAGGGACAGCTCRGGGGGCTCTGGTGTCCAGCCACCTGCTGGGGTTAGGGAAGGAAAGGATTTAAGAGTGGGAGAGCAAATTCTGCCAGGAATTTGCAGGAAGCCAGGCCCTCCCAACACGCCCCGTACTGGTGCAGTGGRGCCKGCAGGACCCTGAGGGGCAGGAACCATTCCCCAGGGAATCTGCTGCTGCTGGCAAGAGCTGATTAGATGGAGCTGCATCAGGAACAAACTGTCAAAGGCATGGAAAGAGCCTGAAA